GCCAAACTCAGAAAAATGCAGCCCAGGGCAGATACTGGTGGTTTCTGTAGCCACAGACCCAGCTGATATTCTTTAAGGCCAAAAATTCAACATCACATGATAGATGCTATTTACAAAGACTGCACAAATCTTAAAAGATCAGGGCTACGTGGTGCTCACAATATTGTCCATTTATGCATGTATATACCTGGGGCACAGTCAGAGTTTCACATGCTACATATGTACAGATAACATTAAAGAATAATCCAGATACCAAATGCTTAAATATTTCTGGTACTGCTTCATCACTATATAAGCACATCGTGATACCACCTAATTCACTAAAATTAAAACTGAATAAGCTTTTTACTTTTTAATCAAGGTTAGAAATTAGATGAGATGTAATTATTTTACATATCCAACTGTGAAAGCTTCATTAAAATCCTTAATATTAAGTAATACAATAAAAGTTTTTGTAGTATTACAGCAAGTTGGTGTTAACATTAATGCACTGAAAAGAAAAAGTCTTTCTAATTTTTTATTTTTCTGGAGGACTTTGTGCAGTCAATTGCATACAAAAGTACATACTGAATATATGGTCACACCTATGTATATATCTATATATTTTTCTGAGTACAAAGCAAGAGAACAGAGTAGTTATGAGTGTCTTTCCACATCACTCACCGTTGGATAGAGTGTGTATTCACCTGCAAACTTGGGCCCTTTGGCATTTGCCAGATAGACTATCATAAACAGGTAAACTAGAAATGCAAATGATTATACAGATTGAAGCATCTCTTAACTACTTTAGACTTAAAACAGTCTTTGTTCTCTAATTAAATCATCTCTACTTGAGAGACAACTCAAGTTACAGGAAACACAAATAAGCAGAGCCAGGGTAAATAATTCCTTTTTACTATTTCTAGATCAATTAAATGCAATACTCACCAGTGTGCTCTTTCAGCAGCAGAATCCACATTCACTTCAATGACAGCAAAGCATCATTTCAACTTCCAAAATGGCAAGAAAAGGAGAATGGAGAAAAAAAGATGGGTGAGGGGGTTGGCAGAAAGGAGTGAAAAATATCAAACAAAAAGCAATTTAATTTAAATACCTTATTGTACTAGATTCTCGCTACTAAATTTAAAGTTTGCTTTTAACTCTAATTTCAATGGATTTGCAGGAAAAAAAAATCTAAAGAGTAAATTTAGATTAAATTGATCATTATAATTTATTTTATTAAAATAATATAGCTGAAAGACCTTTCTTCCAGTAAAGGGTTCTGGCTTTGATGTCTGATTGTTATGCAAATTCTGTGGAGTACAAGATACGGACAGAGGAATAATTAAGCTCAGGACTTTGTATATAATAATTCTTACAAATGTAAATGTACACTGGTTTGAGATAATGATGTGTACACGCACTGGGAGCCATACAAGTACCTTAGCAAAGACAGGAAACCCCACAAATACTCACCAATGCCTCCAAGCAGGCGTCTGGGACGGCAGGGCCAGGCTGCTGACACACGCCGGGGGCACCCACACCCCCAGCAGCCCCAGAGGAGCCTCTCGTGCTGGAGACCCCCAGGAACAGTTCTCAGCACCAACACACAAACATTTGAAAAACAAAGTGAGCTTTGTTCTGGAAGATAAACATTGACCATATACATCTATATATTTCAAAGCACTCAATTAGAAACTGAACTTTGCCCCTTTCTCAGGCTTTGAAATATTCCGGCCCCAAACACAGGTCTTTATTCTCCTTTGGCGCGGGCATCACTCTCCCTCTCCTGCTCCCACACACCATATGGCCCCCGACCCTGGGACAAATTCTGCACTGATTTATGGCCCCTGCGGTCCAAGAGACTGACCTGTGGCATAAATCTGGGGGGCAGCGCACTTGGGCAGCCTGCAGGTTCTTCCCCATGCTGTCCCTGCTCCCATGTGCTCGTTTCTGCCAGCCAAGGATGAGGGATTTACACCCTACCACTGGGAGCAGATCTGGGTTCAGGCCACATCACTACAACTCAGCAAGCAATAAGACCAAATGCAATGGACACTACGAGTGCCAGTACAACCTGAAATGTCCTCCAACAGAGAAGGGGGAATGCACTTGCCCTGTGGGCAGCTGGAGGCTCTGGGCAGTTGAGGTGCCTCAGGTGGGTGAGTGGTGCTGAGCCCGCCGGCTCTGCCACCACCACAGGGCATGCAAGCTTGGAAGGCAGGGCAAAAGGCACTCACTGCATCACTGGATGCCAAAGCAAGAGTAATCCAGATTGGTCCCTCTGTAGACAAAATAATTCACAAAGAGGAACGAACACAATCAGTTTTTAAGGCACTACAGCCCATCTTCCCATCTCGAGACGACACACACATAGAGCAAGCAAAGGGAGCGAAGCAGCATAGAGAGGCTGAAAAGGCACTCAGAGCCATGGACCAGGAGGGGAGTGCCTTTGTTTCAGCCACAGTCTGGTAAAGAAAACAACTCCTGCAAGACAACTGTGGATGAGGAGGCCAGTTGCATTCACTGACAGAGTCAGTGGGCCAGGCTGGGGCATTCGCTGAGCTGCTGCACAGGGGTTGCTCTCCAGAGTCACATTGGCTGCTCACAGTATCCATAACACTGCTGCAAACACCATGGAGACATACAGGATTGTACATTATGGGGGGATAAAAGGAGGAGAATTTAGTTTTCACTTTTTGTTCATCTTATTTACCTTTCAGTTTCACTAAGCTTGAAAATCAAGCCAAGTGATGATCAAATTCACCTTTTTATTTATAGCCGTTTTCACAACTTTTCCCAGAAAACAGCACAGGATGTTTACAATGAAATGAGAAATTGATTGATGCATCTTAAGTGCATTTTCTAAACACTTATCATTAAAAAAATATACACATGGACTTAAACGTCCTGATCCCTTTAAAGTGACCAGTTTTGCCAAGGGGTTTTTTCAGTGGCTGTACCACATATGTATTTAAGCACACCTTCTCTGCCACTCTCTGGAAGCTTTTCCACAGCACTGTGGTGGGGGGTTTTTTTCCCCCCATCCAAAATGACAAGATTCCTGAGCCAAGTGCAACACTCAGCGAGGGATTTTAACTCTGTAAATCAGATGATACCACAATCACAGTTCAATGAAAGAAGCAAAAATCAAATCAAATCAAACAAAGAGATCCCATCATCCCCTGCCGCATCCTCCCTCCTCCCCCTTCCCACCCAACCAGCAGCTCTGTAGTCCATAAAGGAGATCGGAGGAGAGCAGCTCTGCCATACACTGCTAAGCACAAAGTAAAACATATGAAATACGCTACACACTTTGTGCTTGCTTTGTTGTTTTCACTCACCCAATGAAAAGGGCAATGGCAAACTCAAAGAGAAACATTTTAAAGTGATGTGCAGCACCTTCTGCAATTTGCTCTAACACACTTCAGCCAAGAGCCAGTTCATTCAAACACACTGACTACACTCAGCAGCACAAGTCCTGCGGGGTTTGCCTGGTGGGTCCTTGGGCTCGTCAGGCAGAGAGCGGCTGCACTTCCTTCACCCCAACACCACTGCGGGCACCATCAAAAGCAAACCAACTTTACACGGCAATAAATTTTTTATTCAAATAAGCTTGTCAACACCAATTACCACAACCACAACTGCCAAATACCAAGAAGCACTGTGAGGAACTCAGGGAGGCTGCTGCAGCCCTTGTTCCACTCTACAAACACCAAGTTTGGGATGAGGTCCTGAGGCCTCCAGGCATGGCAGAGCCAGGACCCGCAGGATGCAGCCCTGCATCAGCACATGGCAGCAAAGGAGCCTCCCCCACTCTCTGCTTCCAGCTCTCAAAGCTAAGTCAGCTGTCAGCTCTGTTTCTTACATATGCTTTATCTGCTAAAAGTAACAATTCACACAAACCCAAGGATTTTTCATGACTAAAAATTGTGAATAAATAGTATTTTTCAATGTGGAAAACTCCAGCAATATGCCACATATTAAAAAAAACTAAATAATTTTTTTCCTTAAAAACATGTTATAAGGTATGATTGCTGGCAGGATTATTCTGGAAGCCAGCACAAGCTAAAGAGTTCCAACAACATTAACATGACACAGTTTAAGCTCCCAGTGTTTTCCTGGTACAAGCAGGAAACAAAAATTCCAGAAGAAACTCTCAGTACATGAAATCAAATCACCACACAGAGTACCTTTTTTTCTGCAATATTTTATTTTATTTATATAGAAATACTTAAAAAAACATGAAGTAGCACCATTACTTAAGTTTTACTTTTATTATGTAGAACTTTAAATGTCAGAAAAATAAAACTCTTGATACAATTTCAAATCTTGTCTCAGCAAATATAATATTAGTATTTGACCATGAGGTTAAAGGCCCTTTATCATAAAATAAAATATACTTTGTTTTTAAACTTTGCTCAGTAAAGTACATTTAAGCTCAAGTAACGTCACCTACATATACATAAACAAGTGGTAAACAAATGTATTAAAATAGAAATACTAAAACTATAGTGGTGCAACAGAATTTTTGTAATTTCCACTGAATTCTATTTATACAAATGTTAGAAAGCTTCAACAGTTCCTTTTGACATATGTTTATACATTTCCATTTTTGTAATAATATAGAATAAAATATGCTTTATATCACTGAATAGAAAATATGCTGGGTGAAGCAGATTTAAAAGATTTTTTTTCTGAACCTATAAAATCTCCATCCCAACAGAATACTGTTCAAAGCATTACACATTTTATGGTTTGTAATTCCGTTCACAATTGTGTGATATTAAAATAATACAGTGTTCTTTGCCATAAGGCCATACTAAAATAAAAAAGATTTAACCCAGCTACAAAAAGTTCACTGAACTTAAATTAAAATACTTGTAAACATCTTTGCAATATGAAATATAATTTTTCAAGTCAAAAAAGAATAAAATACTTCAATCTGTATTAATGCAATTTATCTTTAAAACCTTTAAACGTTTTTAATATATATAAGAGATATGTTACAGTTTTGTTGGTTTTTTTTTCTTTTTTCTTTTTTAAAGTCTGATAAAGCTGCAGTATCATGGTTTTTCACAGGAACTTCTTGCCCTTTCAAGAACATTCAGAAAAGTATCCACCCATAGATTTAATTATTTTGTAATAAGCATCCTAGAACTACCAGCACGTTTTACTAACAGTCCACACACCATTGTCATCATCATAAGCATCTTCTACTTTCAATTTTTTTTTTCTGGTTTTTGTTTTGTTTGTTTATAAAAAAAGGGGGGAGTTTTGGAAGCTTCGTATTAAAGTACAGTGTAAAAACTAGCCTAGCACTAGAATGGAGTCGCCCGTTATTATTTATAGCATGCACCCGCTGTCACACCACCCCCCAAGCCCTCCCTCGGCCGTACCCGCACCCCTGGCGGGCGCGGCCCCGGCCCCGCCGGCCCCCCCCGCCCCTGCCCTGCCCGGCCCGGCCGCCGCTGCCCCCGGCGCTCAGGAGAAGATGCGGATGGCCTGGGTGACGGCGCTGTGGCACACGGGGCACTGCGGCTCCGTCTTCTCGCAGATGCGGTTGGCGCACTCCATGCAGAAGAGGTTGTGGCCGCAGGGCACCAGCGCCGCGATCACCTCGCTCTCGAAGCACACCGAGCAGTCGCGGCTGCCCTTCCGCCGCACGCCGGAGGAGGAGCAGGAGGAGCTGGACGAGGAGCTGGAGGAGGAGGAGGACGAGGCGGAGGAGTCGGAGGGCAGCCCGGGCAGGTGGGCGCCCAGCCCGTTGGCGTACAGCGGGTAGGAGGCGGCCAGCAGCCGCCCGCCGGGGTCGCTGCGCACCCGGCGCGCCAGCGGGTGCTCGGTGCCGGCCGCGCTGCCGTGCAGGGGCGGGGAGAGCCGCGCCGGGGGCGGGGCGGCGCCGCGCCGGGGGCCGCTCACCAGCAGCGCCAGGTTGGCATTGGCGGGCGCGGCGCCCGGGAAGGCGGCGGCGGCGGCGGGCGAGGGCGCGGGCGAGGGCGGCGCGGCGGGGCCGCGCTCGAACTGCGGCCACAGGAGGGCGGCCCCGGGCGGCGGGGCGGGCGCCAGGTCGAAGCCGGGCGGCGAGTCGAAGGGCAGCTCGGAGCAGCAGTCCGGGGAGGAGAGGACGTCGCCGCCGCCCCCGCCGTACACGTAGCCGTTGGCGCTGTTGTTGTTGTTGTTGCCGTTGTGGGAGAAGCTCAGCGCCGGGCTCGGGGGGCTGTAGTCGGCCAGGCGGGCGCTGCCGCCCCCCCCCGTGCCGCCCCCGAAGTAGGAGTCGGTGGAGGCGCTGCCCAGCGAGCTGGAGCTGTCGTTGCGGTAGTTGCAGAAGGGCTTGCGGCCCGGGGTGGGCGTGATGCTGGGCGGTGTGGGCTTGCTCCAGAGGCTGCCCGTGCCGTTCAGCTCAAAGCCCACGTCCGTGCCGTTGGCGTGGAAGTCGTTCTCGTCCGTGAGCTCGATGATGCCGCCGGTGCGCATGGCGATGTGCGCCTCGATCTCCTCCCGGGCCCGGTCCACGTTCTCGGGCATGCCCGTCACCTCAAAGACCGGCTCCTTGTCCCGGCTCGGGGTCACGATGTACGTGTGCGTCTGCTGCTGGATGCGCTTGATGGTGGCCCCCTTGGGCCCCACGACCAAGCCCACCACGCGATAAGGCACCCGCACCTGGATGGTGGTTTGGCCGGGCAGGTTCGGGGGGCCGGGAACGGTGCCGTTCAGGGCTGTATTCTTGTTCCGCGAGGCTCGGATCATGGAGAAGTGCTCGGCCGCAGAGATGATCTCCCTGCGGGCCATGGCCACATCTTCCTTTCTGCCCGTCACAACAAAGAGCGGCTCCTCCCCGCGAACCGGGGTCTTGATGTAGGTGTTGGTCTTTGCCCGCAGAGCCTTGATTTTACAACCTGGGAACGAGATGCGGGAGATGGAGGGCGAAGGGGAGGGGGAGGAAGGGGAGGTGGTGGGGTAGAACCGGTTACAACCCATTGTTTGGGTGCAGCTAGGGAGGTGGAAAAAAACACACCCACCCGAAACACATTGCCCCCAGCCCCAGGTGATCGCTGGCATCTCGTCCGGGAGACCCGGTCACGGTGTAAAGTAATGTCAGCCCACAGCCCTGGCACACGCCCAAAGGCATCGCAAGTGGCCACCGACACATCTGCCATGCAAACTGCCCCAAAACTACCAACGTGCAGTTCACAGAGACGGCAACACAAAAAAGAAAAAAAAAGCAAAAAAAAAAAAAAAA